TGTTTGCACTCAAACGGCAGGATGTACAAGTTTAGGAAAAAGCAACAACCACTAAAGCAAACAAGTAATTCCAAAAGATTGATATATCCAAGTCCAGAAGAATCTGAGCAATTAGGTTGAATCTGAGATATATAGCAAGTGTAATATATCAACTTAATATGTAAAGTTTCAGTTTTGCTTTCAACATACAGTTATAATGAAAATATTAGCTAACAATTCTTATTTAATACTAATAGATGCACCATATGGTTACAATTTGTATTGTCTCTAAATTATTATCAGAAAGAATAATTAAAGGGGAGATGACGAGGAAGGTAGAAGAGTGATAGTGAAGCCCCGACTACATTCTGGGATAGTAGGGGTGGTGTACATTCCCTTGCCTAAGATAAGTTCGGCAAAATGTAATCAGAAAAGTTTAGTGTTCTGTGAGGAGTGCCTTAATACAAGCTGTGAGGACTCCATAATTTTTGTTTAAAATTTATTGCACTCTTCCATTATGCCACAATTTATAAAGAGAAGGATACTGATGAATCTGTTTGTTTTAAGAAATGACAGTAAAAATAGGTACACATTCTGAAAAGGACAAACAATGAGCATACTGTCTCTCTGCACTGAGAAAAGTTCCAATATAGGGGATCTACATGATAAAAGTGTAATAAACCAGACAGAGTAATGAAAACATTGCAAAACAAAATGGGGCAGGGTAAGAGAGACACTGCATGATGTACAAGTTTAGGAAAAAGCAACAACCACTAAAGCAAACAAGTAATTCCAAAAGATTGATATATCCAAGTCTAGAAAAATCTGAGCAATTAGGTTGAATCTGAGATATATAGCAAGTGTAATATATCAACTTAATATGTAAAGTTTCAGCTTTGCTTTCAATATACAGTTATAATGAAAATATTAGCTAACAATTCTTATTTAATACTAATACATGCACCATATGGTTACAATTTGTATTGTCTCTAAATTATTATCAGAAAGAATAATTAAAGGGGCGATGACGAGGAAGGTAGAAGAGTGATAGCGAAGCCCCTGACTACATTCTGGGATAGTAGGGGTGGTGTACATTCCCTTGCCTAAGATAAGTTTGGCAAAACGTAATCAGAAAAGTTTAGTATTCTCTGAGGAGTGCCTTGATACAAGCTGTGAGGACTCCATAATTTTTGTTTAAAATTTATTGCACTCTTCCATTATGCCACAATTTATAAAGAGAAGGATACTGATGAACCTGTTTGTTCTAAGCAATGATAGTAAAAATAGGTACACATTCTGAAAAGGACAAACAACGAGCATACTGTCTCTCTGCACTGAGAAAAGTTCCAATATAGGGGAACTACATGATAAAAGTGTAATAAACCAGACAGAGTAATGAAAACATTGCAAAACAAAATGGGGCAGGGTAAGAGAGACACTGCATTTATTAAAAAAGAAATTAATAAGCACATTAATTTCATTAAAGAAGAGAGGTATATTCATACATTAAAATAGAGAAGGATAGAAGATAACTTGGTGCATGAAAATTGGTAAACTTTCTAATCAGGAAGCCTAGGGCTATTTATTCATAAAGACATTTTAATTTGTCACTCAGTGTTCAAAAAACTTCCTGGATTAAAACCTTTGCTTGGCATCTCAATCCAGATTCTCTAGGAAGCACAGAATGAGATTGAGCAATGCCAGGTCAACCACAAGGAGGTAAAAAAAGAAGTGATACAGGGAAGAGAAGAAAGCAGCCACAAGGTGGTACATGACTGAGCTGGGCAGAACTTCACAAGAAAACGTGGCCCGTTATTTGGTCATGTGAAACAAACCTAAAGAAGTCATTTGGAACCTTTGTACCTTGAAACAGTTAGTCAGAGAGAGGGACATTTATATGTCAGTTGCTTGTCATACTCTATGTTTCATTGATAAAGATTCATCCTACAGGTCATTAAGTCCTCTGCCTTTTATGATTTCATAATCTGCCCCTTTGTGTAGCCACTGGGGAAACCATACTCTAACGGAGATAGAATTTTCCTGGGTGTGTCCCTATAGGACAGTTGCCAAAAATACTGTGAATCCTTCCATAGTGGTTGCTACTGGGGACATGCTAATGCCTGGTCTTCACCTTGAGAGAGGCTAATATAGTAAATGGCGTTAAGAGATAAGGTGACAGTGGTGCCAATATCTGAGACTCACCATTGAGCAAGTGGTCAAAAACCATAATTTTTGTTTAAAATTTATTGCACTCTTCCATTATGCCACAATTTATAAAGAGAAGTATACTGATGAACCTGTTTGACCTGTTGTGAAGATACGTTAGGATTATAAGGTTTTAATCCTTAGGATTAGGATTGAGCCAATGTAGAAAAACACACAAACTGGGCCCAGGACAGACAACCCCATGTACAACTCAGAGGTACTTGCACCATCTACTGATAACCTGATAGCATGCAAAATAAGATCCCTCACATATTTCCCGAGAGTCGAGTCTAAGTACAGTCCTTTAGAATGACGGCAAGCTGCGATTCCCCAGAGACTTAAAAGAGCGGTAATAAATCCAGCCACAATATCCAATCCTCCAACTAGTTCTTAAGGCCTTAATTGACATTCATCACCTATCTCCTTTACCATGAATCCTGATTTTCCCCCATACTCTACCAGCATTTCAGCTGGTCTGAACTGCTGCTGAGTAGGTGTTGCAGACCTAAATCATGATGAATTAAGCCCTTAGTTTTCTTGCTCCTATGGAGTCTTGGTTGCTGTAATTTCTCCTTCCCATCAGAGCGTGGAGTACTTCTAAGTTTCAGACATATTTTGCCTCGCTCAGATTCTGTGGCAGTAGCCATATCTCCTCATGGTGGTGAGTATGGATATCTCACACCATTTTTTTGGTCTATTGTCGTGAGGAACACCAGATCACATATGGAACCAATCACAGCTTCCACTTAAGTGGGATTCTAATTGTGTCCCCTGACAGAACAGCACTGCTCCCCTGACTCCACCACAAGAACCAGGATTCTAACTGGCAAAGTATAAAGTTGTAGGGAAAGGTAGTGCATATACCACAAGCAGATCACTGCTATTGATTACAGGAAGGGGCTAACCTTAGTCCCAGGACTGTGGGTCCTGGGTATGATAAATACAACATTCTATATCAGCGATTGGTTTGGCGTATTTCCCAATCCTAGAAGGTAATATCCCAATTCTAAGGTTTTTCCTCATGCTGGTGTCTTGGCTGAACTTTTCATGATTAATATTATTCCGCTGTACCATCAGGCCTGTCGCTGTTGGGTGATGAATCACATTATGACCATAAGCTCACTGTTGTGCCTTCTTTGATACAGCAGCAAATGTCCCTTAGTAGAAGCAATATTATATGGGGCACCATATCATTGGATCAGTCATTCTTAGGCTATCAGATGTGGGTGCCAGTGAAAGCACTGTAAGCGGAAAGACAAACACATATCTAGACCATAATTCAACCACTTAGGACAAATTGCTGCCCGCTCCAAAGTTGAGAAGATGCAACTTAATTTGCCTGCCACCCAACAGATGTTGGGTCTCTATCGTACCCTGGAGGAATGGTGCCATCTCAGTGGCTCATTGTCAGTCTGCTTCTGGCATTTGATAGTTAGAAGCCACAATAGCTATATTAGCTTTGGAAAGGGAGGCCATGTCCTGGGTCCATGCATTTTCCCTGCTTCTGTCACTAAGATCTAAGTCCAACCACAATAGATCATTCTCCTCATGGGTCTATTGCACAAACTCTGCAGTAACTGAGAAAGGAGGCTGGCTAATATCCACTAAACACGTGACAATGTCCACCTGGTAGCAGAAAGCTTTCTCTGCAGTATTTACTCTCTGATAGGCATGGTTTTGATTGTGCTCACTCCTACAGCCCCATCTACATGTCTCTTGCTCATATCCCTTGTATTTGATTTTCTAGTCTTATTTCTTTCAGGCCCATCAGATTATTAACTCTGCCAAAGCTCAATGTACATCTGCACCTAAGGTTACCTCCTTCTCTACATGAAGGGAACACCAAGTAAACGCTTTGCTGATCTTACCACTGGG